TCCGTTCACAGCTCCTGGCTGCCAGCTGTGACATGCTTGATGAGTGAGTGACCTGGTGCATCAAGGAAGCTATTTGCTCCACTGCCCATGGGAAAAGGAAGCTTCTGGCTGAAGGGACGGTTGCACAGTGGCAGTGCTGGGAAGTGAGGCATAGAAATGGGGAAATGGAAGGGAGGGTCTAGTCCCAGAGATGGGTGCCACAGATCGAAAGTCATCACGAAAGCTGACATTCATCAGCCTTTGGAGTGTTTATTGCCTGCCCAGCGTGGTAATGTTTTGCATTCCCCACAACAAGCTTATGAGGCGGTACAGTTATTGATTCTCATTTTGCAGAGGAGGACACTGAGGCAGAGAGGTAAAGTCACTTGCCCAAGGAAGTGGAAGCAGCAGCGTCTGAAAGGAGACATAGGCTGGGCCCCACCAGCAGCTGTCCCTCAGTTATGTCTGATGTGCTCTGGGAGCCATGGTGTGCTCTGTGGCGAGGGCGGTCATTATAAGAATGTATTTTCTCTGCTTCATGGTCACAAAGCACTTTCCTAGACAGGAACTCATGGACTCTGCAAGACGGCTGGGGCAGTGCCATCCCCAAACCTGTGGTCTGGAGGAGTCCCATAACTTGCCTGGGGTCATATGTTTTAGAGAAAGTCACTTGGAACCCTGATCCGCAGAGGAACGGACCACTGCAAAGACAAACCCTGACTTGGGAGGAGTTTGGGGACAGGGTTTCTGCTCAGAATAAAAGGAAATAAGAACCATTCATAGTTGGCAAGACAAACATGGCTTATCTACAGATGGGTATGAATGCTTTCCTGTCAGTGTGCACTGGGCACCTGGCACGTCCCAGGTGCAGTGAGCCGGGCATGCACCTTGCTCTCCAAAAGCTTACAGGGGAGATGACATGACGATGATGCTACGGCAGAGGGTGGCCCAGGGCTGTGCCTGGCCTGGAGGGTCCTAGAAATGCTTGTGCGGACAGATGAAAACCCAGGCTCTTAAAAAGTCCTTGTCCACTGTCATCCCACAGCTGAGACCACGATCAATGTCAGGGGCTTTAGGAGTGCCTGGATGGGCTCTGGCGGTGTGCATAGAGTGACCCCTGGTGGCAGCTACGTGAATCTCTTTGTTGTTGGGCGAATTCCAGGCAGCCTTGCTCACCGCTTGTTTTTGTGCAGAACGGCATATTGCACATTTGTTTTTCACTCCAGCAGCAAGCAGGAGCTTTAAAAAAAAAAACAGCGTTAATAACGTCAACAAGTAAAACAGGCGAAAGGGATGAACATGCAAATAATATAAAAGAAAGCACAAAATGGCCAGTGGCCTTATTAAAAAAACATATGGTCAGCGCCCTTAATTACAAAATAAACACCAATGAGAAAAACCTCAGAATTCCATTTTCTCCTGTACGTCTGTCAGAGGTGAAAAGGGCCTGCGGCTGGGCAGTGTTTGAGCTAACAGGAGTATAAATGAACGCTTATCTTTGGAAGGAATGTCGGCCAGTAAGTATTAAATGCCTTTCAAAAGGTTTCTGCCGAGTCTCAGCCATTTGACTTCCACAAACGTATCCAAAACGTGGTCAGAGGGCGCAGAAGGTTATGTGCAGCCATGTTTATCTCGGCTCTGCTGATAGCTGGTAAAAATTGTAAACACTCAACTGCCCCGTAAGAGGGAATTGATTTTATCCGGAACTTTCCGCCTCCCTTTTTTCCTATCCCTTACAGCAGAGAATATTAGGTAGCTATAAAATCCACATTGCAGAAGATCTTGTAGAGAAATGAGCTTTCTATATCATTAAATGCAAAACTCACAAAGTGAAAATTTACATTTTGTATAAATAGAACTTTCACGATGTCTATGCATAGGAAAATGTCTATGCATAGGAAAAAGCCCAGAAGGGCCTCTAACATGTTACTGTTTATGTCTGGATAGCCTGGTATTCTTCATTTTCTTCTTTTTGCTTATGATTGCACATTAAAGCCAAGTCCAGACTAGGTTACAGGCAAATGTTTTCTTGAGGGTTGAACCATAGGATGGACTGATAGAGCAAGGCAGGGAGAGAGAAAGTTCTAGATCAGGTTTAGAAACCTGAGCTCTGCCCCTGTTCTCCTGTTAGCTTGCTGTGTGACCTTGGACAAGTGACTCACCCTCTCTGAGTACTGCTTTCATCCATTGTGACATGAAGGGGGTAGGCTAGACAATGGGCAACATTTTGAGGCAGGGATCTGGGTGTGTTTATCCATGGCTGTGTCCCAGCTCCACATCAGAGCCTGCCACATAGTAGGTGCTCAGCAAGAGTTTGTTGAATTGCATTGAAGTCAGCGTGGTTATGACAACAAAATCCAAAAAAGACAGCAGCGGTGACCATTTCTGCCTTCTGAGCTGTGCAGTGGCCTCCATGCTGCCTCCCCAGCCTCCTCCCTTTCTGCTTATCTGGTCCTTTCTCTTTCCTTCGACTTCTGTCTCCTCCTGCTTTCACTTTGAATTTCTGCCTCTTCCTTCTTCTTTCCTATTCCCTCTCCTTTTCCTTTGTCATTCACGCTCTTGCTCTTCCTTTCTTGGATGGCTTCTTTCTCTCTTTCATTTTCTCTTTTTCCTCTCACTCCAATGTTGATTTTAAGCAACTGACAAAGTGTGTAATTCTGGTTGAATGGGAACCAAATGCATAAAGACAAGAGGCAGTGGAAGCCAGTGGGGAGCACGTAGACAGGTGCAGCGGCCAGCCAGGCCCTCCAGGTGCAGGCAGGGGGCTGTCAGGACAGGATGCTGCTGCCCAGGCCC